CAATATGGAGCTTCCTCAAAAAGTGAAAAATATAACTGCCCTTCAACCCAGCAATTGCACTACTAGGTATTTATCCAAAGGATACAATAATACTGATTTTTAGGCATACATGCACCACAATGTTTATAGCAGCACTGTCAACAATAGCCAAATTATGGAAAGAGCACAACTGTCCATCACTGATGAATGGATAAAGAAAATGTGGTGTGTGTATGTGTATGTATACGTGTGTGGATATATAATGGAACGTTGCTCCACGGAAAAAGAATAAAATCTTGCCGGTTGCAACAATGTGGATATAGATAGAGTGCATTATGCTATGCAAAATGGTGCTGGCAGAGAAAGACAAATACAATATGATTTCACTCATATGTGGAATTTAAGAAACAAAATGAATGAGCCTAGGGGAAGGGAAGGAAAAGAAACAAGATAAAAAACAGAGGGAGACAAACCATGAAAGATGTTTAACTATTGTATGTGAACAAACAGGGTTGATGGAAGGTTGGTGGGAGGGGGGATGGGCCCAGTGGGTCACGGGCTTTAAGGTGGCACTCGCTGGGATCAGCACTGAATGATATATGTAAGTGGAAAGTCACTAAATTCTACTCCTAAAACCACTATGCCTTAACTAGCTTGAATTTAATTAAAATTGTGGTAGATAAACACTCAACAATGTAACCCCAGTAAGCATGGAGTGAACAAGGTTTTTAAAAAATACTTTGTCATTTCAAAATACCCAAATTATAAATCACCTCTACAAGCATTTTGCTGAGTGAACCCATAAACTAAAACTAAAGATTTATTTCTGTGAAAAAAATCTGTAGTATGTAAGTAGTATGAATCTTGGATATTAAGTATAACCAGTACAATCAAGTTAAGAAGTTAAAAGTGCTGCAAGAAATTTGTGTGCGTTCCCATGCTTGTGGTGGGGTAGTGAAAGTTTACAAGCTAGATGATCCAAGAGCAACTGAAATATCTAACTTGTCTAGTCGAGACCAGATAATATGTCAAACCTACATTTGTCAGAAGGCAATTAAAAATGACAATTTCAACAGTCCACAAACTCATTCTTTTTTTCTTAGTTAAAAAAAATGTATTTATTCTTTCTCATTGCCATGTAGTATTCCATTGTATAGAATGAAATCTGGCCATGTGTAGCAACATGGATGGACCTTGAGGGTGTTATGCTGAGCGAAATAAGTCAGGCAGAGAAGGACAGATAGCATATGTCTGCATGTATAGGAGGATTAGGAGGAACCTAACGAAGGACCATGGGGGAGAAGAAGGGGAAAAATAGTGGGGGAGAGGGAGGGAGGCAAACCATGCGAGACTCTTGAATGCCAAGAACAAACTGAGGGCTGATGGGCTGGGGGAAGCAAGAGGGGGGTGATGGGCATGGAGGAGGGCACTTGTGGGGATGAACACTGGGTGTTATATGGAAACCAACTTGACAATAAACTATTAAAAATGTATTTATTTAAATTCAAGTTAACATACAGTGTAGTATTGGTTTCAGGAGTAGGACCCAGTGCCCATCCCGACAAGTGACTTCCTTAATACCCATCACTCCATCCCCCACCCCACCCCCTCCAGCAACCTTCAGTTTGTCCTTTTAATGTAGAAAGAAATTATCTATGTGCAAATAACTGTTTTCTTCAGCTCACTTTCAGCACAGAGCCTGACCGATGCAGGGCTGAAACTCATGTACCATGAGATCATGACCTGAGCCGAAGTCGGACCCTCAAAGGACTGAGCCATCCAGGTGCCCCACTAACAATTTCGAAAGGATGTGGAATGGACAGTGCCCAATCCTGAAGGTAATTTCTAGGTGCTCTCCTGAAATACCCATTCCAGCATTGTATTAGTTTGCTAGGATTGCTAGGTACCAAGTATCAAGTGACTTAAACACCACGAATGTATTGCCTCTGGGGACTAGGTGTCTGAAATCAAGATGTCTGAAGGATCATATTCCCTCTGAAGGTGCTTGGAAGGGATCTGTTCCAGGCCTCTCCCAAGTTTCTGGTAGTTCCTTGGCTGGTGGCAGCACACCTGCTGTAATTGCATGACATTCTGTGCATGTTTCTCTCTCCAAATGCTCTCCTTTTATATAAGAACCAATCATATTGGATGAGGGCCCACTCTAATGACCTCATTTTAACTTGCTCCCTCTGTAAGGTCCCTATCTGCAAATAAAGTCAGAACTTGAGGGACTGGGTGTTGGGACTCCAACATATCTTTTATGGGGAGACAAAATTCAACCCATAGCAAGCATGATGTATTCCAGTTTTCTAAAAGTAAGCTGTCTATTGAAAAAAGGTCTCCTGCCCTTCATTGATGATGTTCTGATAGGAAGTAGCCCATCAACTTTCCTTCAGTCACCTTCTCTTTGAGGAACAAGGTGTCAGCAAGAATTGAGCTTGCAGTAAAATCCACTGTAGGCTACATCATAGCCTGCCACGTCCTCAGAACTATGTGATTGTCAATGATCACATCGATGATATACTCTTGTTTTCCTGCCATGTTTGATCCATGCTAAGGGAGGTTTCATTCACCCCATGGACACTCACACTAACATGTAGGTGGTCACTTGCCTTTTTAGACACGGTAGTTCGTTTTTAAACTACCTCTCATCCTCCAGAATGTTATTCCTCTTGAATTACATAAACTTGTACTTTTAGTTTGTTCACATACCTTTCTAGAAGTCTTTTCAAAAAGTCTCTTATTGATATTAAGAGACTAAATCAAGTAGGTAGCTGGTCCTTACAATTTGCAAATTTTCTCATGACACCTTCATTTAAATGTTAAACATATTATGTGGGTATATACATATATATATACTTTATGTATATATCTATACACACATATATGTGTACATATTTAAAGATGTGTGGAAAATACAAAAATATGCCTATGTTTTCATTGAAATTTATTTTAATTGACTTGTATCAGAAACCATCTTCTTTTTTTAAATGCTTAATTTTTGAGAGAGAGAGGGACAGAGTGTGTGAGGGGAAGGGGCAGAGAGAAGGAGACACAGAATCCTATGTAGGTTCCAGGCTTTGAGCTGTCGGTATAGAGTCAGATGCGGGGCTGGAACCCACGAATGCAAGTCATAACCTGAGGCGAAGTCCGACGCTTAACCGACTGAGCCACCCAAGCACCCCTAGAAATCATTTTCTTAACCTTTGCTATGAATGTCTCTGTCACTGTTAGAGGCTCCCAGCAGGGTAGGTGAGCAGCTGGATTTGAATCCACCTCTCCTCTCTGGATTCACCATGGCAACTGCCTTCATGACTTTCCTGGGCCCCTCCTCCCGCTGAATGACTCTATCCGCTTGACTGCAGCTCTGACTGGGTCCTCAGGGTCTCACTGTGAGCCCTGTGCAGCGGGAGGTCGAGGCGGCTGAGGCACCATTTTTTAGCCTACTTTGGAAAGTATAAGGAGGGCAGCGTTTTTGCACATTGGAGTCTCTTTATGAGTCAGAAACATTCGACTTAACTGCTTGGCAGTGTGATGTATATTCAGCTTTTAATGTAAACTCCATGAAAAAATTTGCTTTTTATTGTACGACTGTGTTCTTTCCTTGCCTGTTTTTTTTTCCTTTTATCTCAAACTATATTCTGTTCAGTAGTCTTTCTGCAGCTTTGGCCCTGATGAGGCGACTTCAGACTCAAGTACTGAGCTCTTGCTCACTTCAGAAAAGGCGTTAGGTGATGCGTGTCATTTTTCCTATTGTCATAGGTGTGTCATGTGCAACAGGGACAGATGTGTACAATTCTATATTCTATCGCCTTTTAAGCTATTTATCATTCTCTCTTTTTCCATTTATGTGAATATGTAGGCATTAATTCTGTCATAAAATATGTAAAATGTCCATGGAGACTAAAAGGAAATAGCTAGCCAAATTGCTGGTGTTATAGAAACTTTACAAGTATGTGTGTGTATACACACACAAAATGTTGGATGTGTATAGAAGTAAATATCAATAGAATGTTTCCCTATAATTAAAATATAGCTTATACTTTATTAGGAATGAATATTAGGAATGAAAAAGGACAGAGGATGTATTAAAATAATTATAAGTGCATGATCATGAGGGCAAAATATTTAAAAACCTAGGGAAAATGGGCAAGAATAAGTAGAGGGGAAAACCCTCCCTTAATTTGTAAAGATAGAAAAAATTGGGAAATTGATTAATAATTAATAATCATTAGAAAGCAAACCAGGACGAGATGGGTTCATAATACTAAGAGTTTTGTCATAGTAGCATGAGTTTATCTAAGACTAGTTAATTTAAGTGTTATTGAAATTATTCCAAGTGGTAGAATAACAATAAAAATCCCCTTTGTTCATTTTAGGGAGCAGTCCTGCAATGTATCAAAACACTGATATAATCTGACCAAGCAGGTCGTCTTGTATGCATGCCCTGGTGGCTTGGCACCTGAATATTCATCAACATAATTTAGCATATCAAGAAATTAACAAAGAAGAACCAATTGAGCAAATCAGATTTGAAAAAGGAATGAGAAAATCAATAATTGGTCCTAATATATATAAACCTAAGGAAATAAGAAATGAAAATTTAACACAATAAAAGCTAATAACCAAACACAATAGAAAATATATCATAAATTGTAAATCACTGAAATAGTTTCTATTGAAATTGTAAATAGTAAGTAATGCCTGTTATCACTAATAACATTTATTCTTTGGATAAAATACTTCATGAGTTCATACTGATGTTTCTAATTCAAAGCCAGAACTACAGGGTTTTTATTAAATTTTCTACCTTATCTCTGTTGTCTCTTTTCCTAAAAGTGAGATTTCTGCATTTCATGTAAACCAGAAATGACAGAATTATAATATCATATACTCATTCATGTGCTTTACCCCACATTACACAGGAATTTTTTCCAGAATAACATAGTCCCATGAGCAAAGTGGTTATTGAAAATAGCTTAATTGTTTTTGCATGTGCTCTATTTGCTTCCCATTTTTAGACGTAAACCTTTTGCCTTGAAATAATTTTAGATTTTCAGAAGAATTACAAAGATAGAACAGAGAAATACTTCTCACCTATTTCCCCCTGTTGTCACCATCTTACATAACCATGATACGTTTGTCAAAACTGAGAGATTCTCATTAGTATGTTAGTGCTAACTGAACTCCAAGGTTTATCTAGACGTCACTTTTGTTTCCCCACTAACATCTTTTTTTTTTTTTTTTTTTTAATTTTAGGATCTGATCAGCATTCATTTGCATTCAATTATCATGTTGTTCAGCCTCCTCTGGTCTGTGATAGTTTCTGTCTTTGTTTTACGTGACCTTGACAGTTTTGAAGAGTACTGGGTAAGTATTTTGTAGAATGACTCTCAATTTGCTTTGTCTTGTGTTTTCTCATAATCAGTCTAGATTATGGACTTTTTAAAGGGAGACTACAGAGGTGAAATATCCTTCTCATATCAATTATATCAGGGAATATAGTGCTATTAATATAATTCATAACTCATGGTGTTGACCTACTCATTTGGCCAAAGTAGTTTTTGTCAAATGTCTTCCCATTTGACAAGTTACTTTTTCATCTTTCTGTATTCTGTTTTTGGAAGCAAGTCATTAAGTCCAGCCACACTCAAGGAATAGAGAAAATTAAACTCTACCTTCTGCAAGGCAAGATCTGCATAACTTATTTGGAATTCTTCTATGAGGAAAATTTGCCTTTTCTTCCCTATTTCTTTCTTTTTTCAATAATTTACTTGTATCAGTAGAGACTTGTATATATTTGTTTTGTACTTTCAGTTATAAGCCAGTGCTGTTATTTATTTTGGCACTCAGTTCTTTCTGGTTTGGGTCATTGACAGCTCTTTCAGATCGACTCGTGTCTCTTGGGTGTTACTAATTTTTGAGTTTTGATAATTCTGGACTATGTTTCTCTTTCACATTGTAGATCATTGTCTTAGTAACTTCAGGTGATTATAAAACATTAGGATATAGTTTTCCTTTGCTTTGTGGGCGAGTGTTTCTGTTTATGCTCTCATTGCCTGTTAAGGGGTTATTCTGTTTCTTATTATGTTTGCTAATGTATTAATTCTGAGTGATATTTAACTACAGTCATTTTCTGATGCTCGTTTTTACATGAAACTAATTAATTTCTAGAAGGTATGGGGAAGGCATGGTTTTACAGATTTTCTAACTTTATGACTCTTGAGCTCCCTCTTCTGCTATTCTTGTGAAATACTACGTTTTGTTCAGGACCTGTCATCTGTATTATCCTGGTTAATTTGGGTTCTATTCTCAGCAGTTCTTAGTCAGTGTAGAGGTCTTAAAGTGAAGGAAGCTTTAATTGGTTTATGTTGAGGGGTGGTCGGGTGCAGACTATCCCAGCCCCTTCAGATCTAATTGCAGATAGCTTGTATTCACCAACTAATAGGGTGCACAGATCCCTGCCAGTTTCAACTCTTTTCTGAATTTTACTAAGATTTCTGATGAATACATGTTGTTAAAATCTTAGTGTATCAAATACTTTGCTGTGTCCCTCTGCTATCTCTTGTATGGGCACTGATTCTTCCCAGGCCTGGTAGGTGTTAGTGGATTGTTCTTACCATTCATACTTGGAGTTGTGTATGGATACTTTATATTCTGGCTCATGTTTTACTTCATATTATGTTGTCCATAGATTTTTGGTTTTATTATCCAAATTTCTGTGTGGATTCTCACGGGGGAGATTTGGGCATTTTCATAAATTAAAGGCCCATAGTGGAAGATTTTAATCCCCCACCCTTTTTAGTAACTATTAGAAAAAACAGACACAAAGTGATAGATAAGATTGCAACAACATAATTAATAAAAATAAATTACACACATAGAACTCAATGGCAAATAATAATACACATTTTTTCAAGTATACATTGAACATTAAAAATCTTCTTGGCCATTAAACAATTATTGTCAAATTAAAAATGATGGAAACCAGGTAAACCATATTCTCAGACTATAGTCAATGTAGGCTAGAAGTTAATAACAACATGATAATTTAAAAATCCCCATCTGTTTGAAAGTAATAAATGTATTAATAAATAACTTAGTGTCAAAACTATCTCATTATACAAACTAGAATATATTTTGAATTGAATGATACGAAAACACATACATATCATGACTTGTGGGATGCAGGTAAAGCTGGTCTTAGAAGAGAATTTATAACATGCATGATAATTCCTAATACATACATTAGAATAGAAACAAGGTCGATTATCAATATGCTAAATGATCCATTTGATGAAGTTTTCAGCTTTTATTTTGCAGAATCCCTTCTGCATTTCACAGTCTAGTCCTCAAAATACCTTAAAGCCCCATAGTTCTATCATATTATCATATCTATGGGCTTGTATTCATTCATGCCCCAATGCTTAGAAGACCACCCTGGACAGTACTTTTGTCTGGCCCCATTTTTGCTGTGTAGACTTCTGTTAGCAGCTGTAACACTTTAATTGTTTGTGTAGAGAATATTACAGTTTTGAAAATACTTCTTTTTGTTTTTCCTTGGGACCTGGGGGAATAGTTGGGCTGAGCAGTACAGGGGATTTGGGGTGAGGGAGAGCTTATGAACAGATGGAAGACCTTAAATGGACACTCTGTGTGTCTTACACTTATTGCAGATTCCCCCAGACATTCATGAGTGAATTAATTTCCTTCTTTCTTTATCTTCTCTCTCTGTGTAAACTCTTAATAATATAACAAACAAAACAAAAAAACATAAAACAAAAAAATATAAATTCACTATTATGTTCACTTCAGTTGAAGATTACCAACATGTTTTATCTACCTATATGTTTTTCCTATCCAGTCTCTGTTTCCCTTGAGAAACAGCTAAAATTTTGATCTGAAGATATGCAATCCTCTTCTTTTTATTAAAAACATTTTAGATGTATTAAGCAGGCCTAAAAATATGCTCAGTTTGGCTTGTTTTAGGGGCAAAATATGGAATTATACTTTACATAGTCTTTTGAGACATGATTTTTCACTCAGTCATTATATACTAGCCATAAATATTGCATGGAATGTAAGCTTATTCATTTTCACCAAGGTATAATATGTTCTATTACCAGAATATACCACAATTTATTTAACCAGTCTCCTGTTTTGGGGTATTTAATTTTTCCCCAGGTTTTGTTTTGTTTTCTGTGTTCTTTTGCTTTACAAAATATACTGTTATAAATATGGCTTTCTGGGCCTCCAGGTACACATATGTAAGAGCTTTTCTCAGATTTACTGAGTCATAGAAAATTTAATGTTGCATTATTTCCTAAAGAGCAGTACCAGTTTACATTCTCAAAAAATAATATATGAATATATCTATGGATCCCCATCTTTTCCAATAATTAGACTTGTCAAGCTTCTTCATTTTTGCCAGTGAAATTTGTATAATATAGTATTTTATTGTGGTTTTAGTTGCATTACTCTAAATATTAATGAGTTTGGTTATCATCCTGTACTTACTGGTGTAAAGTGTTTCTCTTTCATGTACTGCCTATTCAAGTGTTTGGCTTTTCCATTGCTTATTTTGTTCTAATTAATTTGTGCAATACACATATATGTATATACACATATGTGTATATATATGTATGTATATATATGTATGTATATATATATACACATATATGTATATACAAAGGCATATATATGTATATAGGCATATAAAGGCATATATATGTATATTAGATATATATATATAAAGGCATATATATATACATATATATATAAAGGCATACATATATATATAATTCTGAAACTTTTTGATGGGGTAGGAGGTAGAGAGGATGTTTGCTCATAGTGTCTGGGGTATCTATGATGCATCCAGGTGGAAGGCCTAGCACTCCAGTCTGGAAATCAGAAAAATTACTTTGATGAAAGCTGTTTGAGAAGAGCAGCAAGCTAAAGGTGACTAGTATGCTGTTACAGATTAGCTAATGTTTACTTTTTGATCCCAACTTCAGAAGAAATTCAGACACAATTTCCCTTCACTCAGACAAGACTCCAGTATATGTTTATCATCTTCCCTCAGGGATATCTGACCCCTCTCAAATACTATCATTACTCTGTTAGGTACAATTTTGACCTGGTGAATATTATGAGGAAGGTAATTCATTCTGGTAGTATAGCAGGAGAATTCCTCTCTGGGGGGAAAAAAACCAAAGACTATGTTGATATACATGAGTAGCTGAGGATGGTTAATCCAACTAGATAAAATATAGTAACCAACCTAATCAATACGTTTTCTAAGAATAACTTGATCCAGGACCTTGAGATACGTTCCATGGATTTATGGAATAAAATAGTCTCTGCCAGATTAACAGTAAGAAATAAAGTCCCTGCAGGTTATTTGAATATTGTTACGTGTAGTTAGATATTGCTAGATGTATTTACCAACATAAGAACATTACTAACTCTATACATTGAAAGAATATTGAATTGGGCCAAAGGTCCAGAACAACAGCTGGCATGCACACATGATTTTGGAGGTGTTCCCTAGACACTTGCAGATGAAGTCAAGCACTGCCATCCAGCGGTGTCTTTTGGGATTTTGGGTTTAAAAATCTACCTGATGCAGGACTGAAGTATTACTTTTTCGAACAATTGCTAGTCTGTTATAGAGCCCAGCTGCAACTTGCATTACAGAAGGTCAGTAGATAATCTTAAGGGCTGAGGTAACTTTTGTGTAATATGTAGTGTCAGAGAGACATCTTTTTGATACCATGAATACTATATGTATAGGACATATTTGGAGACGAATTTATGGAGTTAAATCATTTTGCTATTTGTTTCCTCTTTGTAACATTTGCTATTTATTTTGTTTCACTATTTCCCTTCTTTTGATTATTCCAGCATTTTTATGATTTAATTGTTTTCTCTAACAATTGGATTATGAGCTATTCCTCTTGGTTTATTACTTTTAGTGGTTGATTTAGAATTTACAGTATGCATCTGTATGTTATCATATCTAACTTCA